CTGTTCTACTTCCCTATGCTACAGGTTTCTCCTGAGAGCAATTCCTGAACAAGAATCTTCATCTCAGGGTCTGCTTCTGGGCATCTGCCAGGAGATAGGCATTTGGGGGATTTCATTTTATTTTTCAGAAAAGAGGTATTCCAGCACATTGTATGCTGAGGGAAATGGTCTGGTAAAGAGCAGGGAGTCGATAAAGCAGGAGACTGCTGGCGTGATGTCCTTGAGTAAGCAGGAGGGGACTGTCCTGGGCACAAGAGGAGACACTGGCATTAGGGAGTAGCACAGACAGCTCACCCATTGTGGTTATTATTGTTAGTTGTCATCAAGTTAATTTTAACTCATAGCAATCCCATGTGTGCAGAGTAGAACTTCACAGGATTTTCAAGGCTGTGACCTTTCAGAAAAAGATCATGAGGCCTGTCTTCTGAGGCACCGCTGGGTAGGTTTGAACCTCCAACCTTTCAGTTAGTAGTCCAACACTTGATCGTTTGCACTACCCAGAGACTCCTCATCCATTGCTACCAGGAGAGAAGCCAGGGACTAGGAGTCAAGCTATAGGTGGGTCGGTAGATGTGGTAGTGGAAGGTAGGAATCTATTCTGATTACTTCACTTTTCTTAGTGAAGTGAGTGAGGCCATCAAATGAAAGTGAGAAAAGTGGAGGGTGACAGAGGTCTGAAGAGACAAGAAAAGTGTAAAATAGTCTGAGAGCGCAAGACAGTGACCTAGCTAAGGAAATGTCATATGATTGCTGGGACCACCTGTTTGAAGTTTGTGGTCATCAGTTTTAAACAAGTCTACTCTGCAACCTTATGTGTTTTTACACCTGCCACATCCAGAAATTCCAGTTCAGACTTGGAATAAGTAGAGATATGGGATTAACCTTAGCCCTGGTGGTGCCGTGGTTAAGAGCTCAGGCTGCTAACCAAAAGCTCGGCAGTTCGAATCCACCAGCCACTCCTTGGAAACCCTATAGGGTTCTACTCTGTCCTATAGGGTTGCTATGGGTCGGAATCGACTCAGCGGCAATGGGTTTGGTTTTATTTGGTTTATGAACTTAACCAGAGTTTAGATTCTGCCAAATGAGCACAACTAAGGGAAAGGCAAGGGTGTTAAGGACAGGTGCAAGAGAGTGAGTTTAACAATGACCAATGGACTCTAAGCTAGATAAAGAGGGAATGAGTTCATGGGGGGTGTTGAAATATATATATATATATATGGAAACCCTGGTGGCGTAGTGGTTAAGAGCTACGTCTGTTGACCAAAAGAGGTCAGCAGTTCAAATCCACCAGTCGCTCCTTGGAAGCTCTATGGGGCAGTTCTACTCTGTCCTGTAGGGTCACTATGAGTCGGAATCAACTCGATGGCAACGTCAAGTATTTATTTGCATTTACACTAAGAAACTCTGGAGTTATTTATGGGATAAAGGGAGGAGGACTGAGCATTATAGGGAACAAAGATGGAAGCAAGACTTTTTTTGCATATCTTCTTATATTTTATCTTTGAATAATGTAAAGGTATTACTGGGGGGAAAAAAAAAAACCAAACCTGTTGCCCTTGAGTCGATCTGACTCATAGCGACCCTATAGGACAGAGTAGAACTGCCCTGTAGGGTTTCCAAGGAGCAACTGGTGGATTTGAACGGCTGACTTTTTGGTTAGCAGCCAAGTTCTTAACCACTACATCACCAGGGCACCAAGACATAACCTATTCAAAATTAAATTTAAAAAGTAAAAATGGTACAATTTTTAAACTTTTCATGGAAGAACTCGCTTTTAAAAATTTAAATTTGTAGAACAGTTATGTTAGGAAATTGCATTGTCAAATGGGTCTTTCTTTAAATAGGGAATTTCTCCTACTACGTTTTTTAAAAGAGTTCCATTTTCAGATATTTAGTTTCTATTCAAAGCTAAGATTGTATTGCTACTTTCTAACCACATCCTTAAGAGCAAACTACAGACTTTCATCAAAACCCAGACCCTACCAGAAAAAAAAATATTAAATGACTTGTCACAGACATTACATACCTCACCAGAGGGTAGTTACACTTGTTTGGTATGGCTCCAGAGTTTAGGATGAGAACCAGTGGTTCTAAGAAGGCAGGTTTAAGTCCAAGAGAAAAAAGAACGATTAAAGTTGTACAAAAATGAAACTGGATGACTTAGGGGCACAGGACTGCAAATTAGGAGATACAGGCTCTTTCTCCACTATCAGTTATGAGACTTTGGCAAATCTATTAACGTTTTGAGGGCTGGACCACAGGATCACTAGAGTCCTTTCCAGCTCCCAAATCCAGGACTCCATGTGTGGTTGTAAGTTTCTCCCCTAGAAGTGATAAGCCAGGGTGCAGGATGGTGGAGTAGAAGTCTGTCAGGGGATAAGGATGGATTGGAGCAGGTTTCAAATAGATTAATCACCGGCACTTGGCAATAAATTTGAGGATTTCTAGCCACAGACACCATCCACGCTACAATAAAAAGTTCAGTGTAAAGTTCACGAATTTCTGTGGGTTCCAGAATGTGGGCACTGAAATTGTGTGGCAATGCTCAGATATGAAGCAGACATCCAGAAGAGCCAGGATGCACTTATATTAATTTTTAAAGATTATCACCAAAAAGGAATTACAATATTTAAAAATTAAGGTGGACAACTCATAGATCCTGAAAATAAATCCACAAACACCTCAGGATCTAAGACGTCCATGTTGAGAACAACTTAGCTAGATGGCTCAGAAAGTGTCTAACCTAGAAGATTTTGTGGATCATGCCTGGCACAAGAATTATCTGTAAAATGAGGTAAACTTCTATATTGATTTACCTCAGTGGAGATATCATCATTGATAAAGGGCTGCTATTCAGTAGCATTCACCATTGTGTTATACGAGTCAGTGTCTGTTCTCATTGGCCAGTACCCACATGTACCTGTTGATTATATGTTTAACATCACCTGAGCATTGGCAGAATCTAATGTATTGCTAAAGATAAGCCCATGATATTAAACATGCCCACCACCATTGTGAGTGCCTGAAGCAGAGGCCAGTAAGGTACTCTGGTGACTAATAGCTCTGATACTGGTAAACATTAGTAGTATCAGTATTAAATTACTAAAATATTTGCATAATACTTTATGAAGTGTTTTCACGTATTCATTCAACTCTTGTAGGTTGGGCAAAATATAAGGAAACCTAACTCAGTCTGCTCATTTCTTTCATAAATAACCAGGCAGTCAATAGCTGTTGCATCTAGAAACACAGTGGTTCACTGCCAAATAGCTGTGACCAAACCACATCCTGTTGTTCCTAGACTCTAAATTCACACACACACATACACACTCACACACATAAATACAAACAGGTATAATGTTTTACAAGGTCTGTAAGGGCACACTGTAACCAATGTGTACAAACCCTGTTGAAGAGAAATGAGTCAAGAACTACTGAACTCCTTGTGTCTGTGTACACCTATGACTCACAAGTATAAATGTTCCATGTCAGCTACAGTGCTCGCTGGAGGCTGCTGGGAGGAAAAAAAGCCTATATTAAGTTCCCTGGTTCTAGAATTTAATCTGCTTAAGTACTAAGTTCCAACAAAACATAAATGTGAAATAGGCCAGAGGAGTTTTACATCAAGCCTCAAATGTTTCTGATGAAGGAGATTTTCATAACAATGTTTTGTTCACCTGGACTCAGAGCCAAGAGCTGGCCTCCTTAACCATGAACCGGTGAAGAAAGAAGCAGCTCTTCACTCAGAGGGTGTCATGAGTATTGCTAGTGTTGTTTTGCTTCTAATAAAAAACCACTTCTCGGAGAGTGTTGACATGTCGTGGGGTTGGTAACCAATGTGACAAAACAATATGTGTATTAATTGTTTAATGAGAAGCTAGTTCTATAAACCTTCATCTAAAGTACAATAATTAAAAAAAAAAAAAAACTACTTCTCTTCAAGTTGATTCTGACTCATGGCGACCCTATGTGGGTTAAGATAGAACTGTGCTCCGTAGGGTTTTCAATGGTTGATTTTTTAGAAGTAGACAGCCAGGCCTTTCTTCCAAGGTGCTCTGGGTAGACTCTAACCTCCAGCCTTTCGGTCAGCAGCTGAGCACATTAACAATTTGCACCACCCAGGGACTCTGCTACTAATAAAGTCACCTGGAATTAGACACAAAGGAACTCAAACCTGGAAATTCCTTTTAGGTTACTACCAGAAAACCCTGCCATCTAAATGCCTTACATGCGCCTTACCACAATTAGCTTTACATGGATACACATAAACACATTCTCCTTGATCCTCCCAACAGATAATATTTCCTCTACTTTTCAAATAAGGCTCAAATAGCTAGGGTGGATTTAATTAGTGTCTCAGTGCAAGGGAGTCACAGGGAAACAGAAGTTCAGGCGTCATCTATCTCTAGATCTTTTGCTCTTTCCATTGTATCAAGTCATCCTTCACTTACAGAGAAGGGCTGTAAAGAAGCCAAAGAACTCCATGTGATTTTGGAAGCAAATTCTTGAATATCCAGTTGGATGAAGACTGTGACCATCAGCTGTTAGCCTAGACTTGTATGAATGATAGCTTTGGAAGGTCAGTCTGGTATATGTATTAGACTCATTTCCTCAGTATGCTACATTCAAATCCATGTAATTATCAGTTAGAGTAAAATGGAATTTGTATGCATATTTCTTATAGTAAATTCACTCTAAATAAATTTGACTTTCACATAAATAAGTATAAAGTCAGGCACCTCTGAGAGTTATTTTTCTTTGTTCTCTGACATCTTCCATGACCACCTGCATATCCAAGGGAATGTTCATAATGGTCTGTTATGTTCCATGACATCCCAGTTCACTTGGGTGGAAAATGAAATCCTGTAAACAAGTGGCTGGAGCACCATAAGCAAGTGGCCTCACCTCCCCAGGCCTTGGCTTCCTTGTCTATAACTGAAGGTTTTAACTACAGGACTTTCAATCTCCCTCTCAGGTCTAACCTTCAAGAGTTCAAAATACTGTTCCAGAAATTAAAAAAAAAAAGTTTCTCTTGAAATTGGAAAAAAAAAAAAGTCAGTTACATAAAATGTTCAACACCTTAATGTAAAGACTATCAAGGCTTCCGTACAGAGCCACCCAGGCCACAAGCTATAGCCAGATGCTCTTCTGGATAAGAGGAGAGAGCAACGATCCCTGCGAACAGCTTCAATCCCTGAGGCTCCCTCTCTCCTGTTTTGGGGCCAGAGGAGTTAAGTGTATTAGTGACGAAGTGGAGGCTGTTGGCTGCACATCTGCACAGTGCAGCTAAAGCCCAAGAACGCTTGGCCAAGAGAAAGATGATGTCTTGTAGACTGAGTCCTGACTCAAGCCTCGCCCTAAAGCCAGTCCTAAGGGCGCACAGGTTTTCAAGTGAAGGAGGCAATAAATTCTCTTCTTTGCTTTAGTCAGTGGAATTGGATGTTCTGCCAGACCAGCAACTGAAAGGTTCCAATCCGCACAGAATTCGGTATCAGATGGTAAAGTTTCTGCTCCCAGAGTGGCTTTTCTCTTCACCCTGAACTATCATCTTCCTAGAGCTAAGCCTGTCCCCAGCTCAAGAAAAGAAGTTCTTGCAAAACACCTTTCTTACACTGAAGCTGGAAATAGCGTGGTATAGCCTGAGTTTTCACCTCCGTAGATGCGCAGAAGAGAATCCTTCAGAAGGGAAAGAGCAGAGGGAGGGTTGGCAGGCCGTGATCTTGTTGTCCAATGTCCACATCAAAGCCAGGCAGATGGGGACATAGAATTATAACCAATGGATGGTTAGAACAGAAAGGAAATCATGACTAGACACAGTCAGTCGCAATAGTTTTTAGAGCTAGGAGGAACCTTAAAGTCTACCTGGTCCCCCATTTCATTTCACAGATGAACAAACCAAGGCCCAGAATAGTACAATGACATTCTTCTGAGTGCACGACTAAAACCAAGGCTACAATCCAAGTCTTCAATAAATAAAGTTATCCAACATTCAGATTTGGGAAAAAAAAAAAGAATTCGCTATGTTGGCAAACAGGGCATTTCCTGTTACTAGAATGACAGTCAGAGACCAGCTCACCATTAGTTACTGATGTCTATGCTAGTGGGATTGGAGGAGATTTCCAAGGTTCCTTTCAAGTCTAAGAGTCCATGACAACTCTACTATAGGGAAAGTGCTTCCTGTGGCACAGGGAATATTAGTTTTTTCCGTAGTGTGAAAGCAGGTTGGGGCATCTGTTTCTTTGTCCCATCTTTGCCTGCTTGCCGGCTCACATCATTATTGACAGCAGTGAGGATAGATAAGATGTCTTCATGTCTGCAGGCAGAGAAGAAAAAATGTTTTCAATCAGGAGGCAGAAACCACATGCCTATAACTCGTCGCTCCCTCCTATTCTAACATGCCAGAGTCTTACTGGAATCTTGCAAAAAAACAACAGCTTCTTTTGAAATTGAAACTGAAAGACTAAATTATATAACATTTTTCAATGTTTCATTCAGTGATTAAAAACATTATAATAATCACATTTTGTATTTTAAGACACTTGGTTCATAAAGGATTTTGCCTACAACTGTCTTTCACTTCTTCATTCAAGCCAATAGCTGGGTAGGTAGGTAGATGACAGAAAGAGAGAGAGAGAGGAAGAATCTGTTACTAATAATACCTTCCCTATTCTTAGCATTGGGATGGTTACAAAGGTAAATATGATACAATTCAGCAACTGAAACACTTTGAATGTAGAAATGAAACATTTACCAAGGATGACATATACATAATACTCATAATACAAGGCACGATGTGATCAACACCATACGAAAAGTGGATCAAAGTTCCATTACAAGTTCAGAGGAGGACCTGGCAAGGGAGACAAGGAGAAAAAAGACAGTCCCTGCCCTCTCTGGCAGGGAGGATAAGAGAAGACCCCACTGAGGAGGTTCCATTTGATCCTCAGCTTGGAGGATGTGTCACATTTACCAGAACGTTCTGAGAGGTGGCAACACAAATCACTGGGAGCAAAACTTACGCTCTGGAAGCAGAACTCAAGTTTGAATCATGGCTCCATCATTCACTAATTGTGTGTCTCGGGCAGGTTACTTATTTCTGTATACCTGAGTTCTCCCAGCTTTAAAACTGGGACCACAATAGTCCCCATCTCAGGGACTGCTAGAGAATTAAATGAGGTGACTCAGTAAAGCACTTAGAACACTGGTTGCCGTACACCATCAACCAACATTTTTAACATTATTATTATTACTTCTATCCTTCTCATCATCTTCATTGCTATTATTTTTCACATGAGGTTGCAGGCCCTTCCTGGTTCTCAGGTCCTTCGTCCTGTTTTGTACTAGCTGTTCTTTTTGTCCCTGAATATTCCTGTAGCTGACTCCTTCTCATCATTCAGTCCCACCTGAAGTATCACCTCCACAAGAATCATTCTCAAGTAGCCCTCCTGCCCCACCCTTGATACTACTACCTTGCTTTGCTTTGTTCATAACAGGTTTCACTACCAGAAGTTACCTCATTAACTTAAATATTCCTTACATTTACTTCCCCTCACTGGACTGTAAGTTCCATGGAAAGGAGATCTTATTTCTCTTGTTCACAACAGAACTTCCAGCCCCTAGCTCAATGTCCAATAAACAGCAGGCACATAGTAGGCCATTGATAAATACAGCCTTGTCCATGAAGGCATAGGGCATTGGTCATTGATGACTATGGTAGGGATGGGAAGGTAGTAAAGAGGAGGGAAAAGCAAAGGTGACTCAAGTCTTCAATCCTGAATTCTCAGAAAAGCATTGCGGCCATTCCTAGAAATGGGGACTCAGGAGTAAGAGCTCCTGGAAAGGGCTGGGAAGATGAATTCAGGACTGGGCATGCTCAAGCTGAGGTTCACAGAGATGGGATGGGGCAAGCAGTGAGAAATGTGTAAGACTGATGTGAAGAATGAGGGCATTCATCTGTGCAGCAAATATTTTATCAAGCCCAACAAAATATCATTCACTACGTCAGGTATGGTGCCTTGGAGGCACAGTGATTAAGAGTTCAGATGCTAACCAAAAGATCGGCAGTTTGAATCCACCAACTGCTCCTTGGAAACCCTGTGGGGCAGCTCTACTCTGTCCTATAGGGTCGCTACGAGTCAGAATCAACTGGATGGCAATGGGTTTGGGGGGACATCAGGTGTTGTGGATGCAAAGTTGAAATAAAAGGGTCTCTATTCTACAGGAGCTCAGAGGTGAGTGGCCCAGATATGGCAGTTTGGGAGACATTTTCATGGAGGTGCCAGCGGCTGTTAGCTGCAGCTGAAGTTGTCAAGAAGGGCTAAAAGAGAGACAGAGCAGAGAGGGGATCCAGGGAAGAACTTCAGTAAAGGTCCATTTTTCAGGGGACCAGGTAAGGAGTATGTAGCAGAGACAGAAGGGAACTTGTCAGAACAGTAGCAAGACACCAAGGATAATACAATGTCAGGGAAGCCAAAGCTGACACATAGCAGGCACTCAGTAACTATGATTGAATGATGAATGAATGAAGGAATAAATAAAAAGTACCATGCTTTTGTTCATGCTGTGTCTTCTGCCCAGCACTTCTTTCTCCCTACTTCTTTGCCTAAGATCTGTTTGTCATCTCTAGAAGTCTCCCTTGATCCAGTCTCATGTCACATGCTTCCATAATACCCTATGCTTTATAATGTGTATTTACCACCTGGCATGCTTGTCCCCATCTACTTGTTTGTCTACCATTCTAGGCTGTGAGCAACTTGAGGGCAGGGGCTGTTTTTTTTTTTCTATGTTTCTCCCTTGCCAGGTACATGCTTGTGCTAGGTCTGATGGACGGAGGGATGGATGGATGGGTGGATGGGTGGATGGGTGGATGGGTGAATGGATGGATGGATGGATGGGTGGGTGGATAGATGGATGTCTGGGTGGATAGATGCATGGGTAGGTGGATTCACAGGTGTGTAAAACAACTCAGAACTCTAACCTTGGGACCAAGTCCTTCAGATGATTACACAGAGACTGAATATACCAGCTGCCTTTCTCCAAGTGCCGAAAGGATACGTAGCCTGGGACGGTGGCCAAGCCAAGCAGGAAATCAGCCTCAACTGGAATGCTCTCCCGCAGGTTCACCTCCCTGGGGGCAGAGGGTACCTTCTCAGGATTCAGAGCATCTGCTTCAATGGTTACAGAAGGTTGTATCTCATCACCTTGACAGGCCTGGATGAAAAAGAGTTTGGGTTTGTGAGCCAGACCAGGGCACTGCTGGGCTGTGAAGTGAGACATGATGTCCCGAATGGGAATGAGGGCCCCGTCTGCGGAGTAGACAGCTCCAAACTTCCCATGGGTCAGGATACAGCACACGAAGCAGTCCCCGTCAGCGTGGCCTGAATGACTCTTATATTCTTGCAGAGCCTCCTCCAGGCCTCCTTTAGTCACATCATCGTATATCCGTACTGCAAACCCAAGCCACTGAAACACACACTTGAGACTCTCTGTCAAGAAAGAAAGGAGAGAGAGGGTAAATTGAAATGAAATGAAATAAAGGGGTGAAACAATGTTTATAGTTATAAAAATTGTATAGCAAATAGCCTGGAGATTTGCATTTTATGACTTTCATAATAACAATAAAATTTTACAACTAACCTGCCTTCTTACCCACAGTGCCGTCACATTGTATGGGGCCTTAAGGTAACAATCCTGAGAGTCAGCAGAGGCCAGAGTTTCATCCTCTTTCAAAGGTGAGGAAGCTAAGGCCCGATGACTGTTCACAGTCACAAACCTAGCTAGTGGTAGAGCCAGAGGTCGAACCTGGGTTTTCTCGTGCCAACCCGGCATCCCCACCACCACCACCACAAAGTCATAAATGGTCATTCTTTAGCAGACTGGTGACACCCCACAGATATAAAAGAGGCTCAGGTGATATTTATAATACCATCTAACTTTTAAATAAAAGAAAAAATTTCCAGAAAGAAAATGTGAAAATAAAATACAATTTTAAGATCCCCAACTTGCATTTGATAAACTATTGCAGACTTTCTTACCAGCATCTTTATGAGTCCCTGGTCTGGCTTTCATCGAGGTAAAGGTGTGGTTGTTCACAATGACACAGTGACCTCTGTGTTTCCGATTCATCCTATACACAGCTGCCTCCTTGAAAAACAAGACAGAACCACTTACTAGGGAATCCTCATTTTAGAGGGTTGGAAGTTTTTAATCAACCACCTCAGTGGGTCCAATTTGAGGTAGTGCAGGATGTATCTCTTAATGTCAGTTTTTTAAACTGTGTTTTTATACTTTAATGTAAATCCCTTCAAATATTCATGCCATGATGTTTCTGAAGTCACATGTAGAAAGACTGGCAATTCTGATCATTCTATGTACTCAACTTTACTGCTAAACTGTGCCTTGAAAATAATTTCAAAGATTCTTTTTAAGTCCTAGAGCCCAGGTCAAAGGATGAAACTCGTTTCACTAAAGATCTGCCACTTCCCTTCTTTCAGGTCACATGAGCTCCTCCTGGACATTCCTTTTGAAAATCAAATGCCACCCCCAGTACCAGAGCAGGACGTTCTGAAGATCCTGGTCCTGCTCTGGAATTAACCAATTAATTCCAAGGCAGAATGTCAGGTCCTAATTAAAATTCAGAATTTATCTGGTTTAACTGAGCAATTTTAGTTCTCAGAGTTAAAAAACAGAATATGTATTTTAACATTGGCAAACCCAGTGTTTATGCAAAAGCATCTTCTTTTGTGGATTGGCAGAGTGAAGAAAGCATAGATAAGGATTTAACAAAACAACAAAAATATAAGTGATTTTTTTTTAGATGTTGGGATTCTGGAGTGATCTGATTCCTCTGAAAACAGAGAAATTTCTTTTGTAACATTGTTTCTGAATATAAAAATAATATAGAATCATGGCAGGAATTTTAAAACATGCAATTATATTTAAAGGCTATTATAAACAGCATGCAATTACAAATTAGCTGAGTTGGCTTCAGGGAAGCTTCTGTGTGGCTAAAATGATTCTCTGAAAACATGGTACATCTTTGATCCAACCAGAAAAAGAAGTGGCTTCAGTCAATAAGAAAGAAACTTTTCCTCTGCCAGAAACAACTGGAAATAACCCAAAAGGCGTGCTGAACTGAAAGGAGTACCATTGCTTATTAGCCCAAGGTCAACACATTTCTAACTGTCACATAAAAAGACAGGTAGGACCTCATCATAAACAGCCCTGAGTCCTCAAAGTCATTAAGGCTGGACCCTAGGGCACCTGAAGAAACTATCTGTCGTGGATTGAATTGTGCCCCTCCCCCAAAAAAAGATATGTTGAAGTCCTAACCCCTGGTATGTGTGAATGTGACCCTGTTTGGAATCAAGATATTTGAAGATGTTATCAGTTAAATTAACATGAAGTTTTACGGAAGTAGGGTAGGTCTTAATCCAATATGAGTGGTGTCCTTACAAAAGAGGAATAGAGACACAGAGAGGCAGATAGGAGGAAGATGGCCATGTGAAGATGCATCTGTGTTAATGGAATGTGTTGTAAATCCTAACCTTTTTTCCTGTGGTTATAATGCCATTTGGAAATGTGATGTCTTTCTTATGCTGATAAAGCAATATTAGTGTAGGGTGTATCTTGAGTCAATCTCTTTTGAGATATAAAAGAGATTAAACAAGCAAGCAGAGGAGAGGTGGGGTAAGGTAGATGCCAAGACACATGAAGATTTCAGCAGAAGCTGAAGAGACAAGAACCCTCCCCAAGAGCCAACAGAGAAAGAAAGGCTTCCCCTAGAGCTGGCCGCTTGAATTCAGACTTCCAGCCTCCTAAAGTATGAGAAAATAAATCTGTGTTTGCTAAAGCCACCCACTTGTGGCATTTCTAGTATGGCAGCACTAGATAACTAAGACAATCTATAAGCCAAGGGATGCCTGGGGTTACCAAAGTGGGAAGAGACAAGAAAGGATCATCCCTTAGTGCCAACAGAGAGAGAGCAGGCCCTGCCAGTGCCCTGAATTCAGACTCCCAGCTTCCAGAACTGTGAGACAATACATTTCTATCCTTATAAGCCACCCAGTTAGGGCATTTTGTTGCGGCAGCCCTAGGAAACTAATATGCTATCCAAACCTTTGTACTGGTTGCCGCATTTCTGATATCAGCCGATGCTCTCAACATCTCCATGGAACTCGGGATTGGTGCACCATTTGTGGCTCTGTCACCTAGAAAGAGAGGCACTCAGACTTTCTAAATATCTTTGCCCAAACACTTAGAAGCCCCTGGTGGCGCAGTGGCAAAGCGCTCGGCTGCTAACTGAAAGGTCGGCGGTTGGAAACCACACACGGTTCCGTGGGAGAAAGATGTGGCAGTCTGTTTCCATAAAGATTTACAGCCTTGGAAACCCTATGGGTTCACTGAGTCGGAATTGACTGGACGGCAGTGGGTTTGTTTTTTTTTTCCCCAAGTGCTTAGATTTCCTTACTAATAATTTCCTGATATAGCATCTAATTATGGAGGGTTTTTTTTTCTCTCAAGGCACTTCTGAGACATAAATTCAGCCACCATACCTTTCCTGATAGGAGAGGCTGACACCATCATGTTACTTTTAACATTGTCAGGGATGGAGACAACGTAGCTGGCAGAGGATGGGCTGGGGAATTAGGATCACATAAATCAGCTCAAGCTTTCCTGTTAAAAGCTTGGTTGGGCTGAATTAGCATTTATCTGTCACTGGACATATAGAGGCTGAGCAGACACCAAGAAGAGAAGAGAGAAAAAAACCAAAAAGGTCTGGGGACCGAATTTGGGAAGGACAAAAATCAATCCAAGGCACTGGGATTAGTTTATTAGTCATACTTTTGGCACTGGCTGAGGATTGCCCTGATGCAAAGTGTTCCTGCAAACTCCCTAGTTCCTCTAGAAAAAAAATCTATCATAGAGAGGAAGTCAGTGAGGGGTTGGTTGTCACGAGATAGTTACAGGAAAATGTAACACAAAACTGTTTCCTTCCGCTAGTCCTGGCAAGGTTTTAGTAGAATTCAGCAAGCTCTGCCACTGTCTCTGAGGCCTAAGTTAATTATTAACTATGTTAAGGGTCAGTCCTTGATGCTCAACTCACACTGAGCAAGTTCAGTATTCCCCAGAACAGAGAACATACCAAAAGGAAACCAACTTGAATTCACACCGAGCACCTATAAATTCCTCCTCCCCATGGAAAGAAAGTAATGCTCCAGGGGAAGCCAGGTCTAAACTTTGGAACCATGGAATTATAAAGCTGGAAGAAACCCCCTTATTCTTCTGAGAAGTAAAGCTGTTGTCTGAGCACACATAGCTACACAGTGGTAGACCAGATTTTCAGTGGATGGGCTCTGGAGTCAGACTGCTGAGTTCAATTCCCAACTCCACTCTTTTGTAGTTGCACAATCTTCAGTAAAGTACTAGACATCATGGGTCTCAGTTTACTAATCATTAAATGGGAATAATAGTAGTACCTATCTCCAGATGGTCAGAGAATCCAGTGAGATAATCCTGGCACGTGACAGTGTTCAGTAAATAAGTGGTAACTCCCACCATAATCATCATCATATCATGCGACCTACAGAGATTCCTAGGAAAGTGGTGTGTCTTGGAATCTGAATTTAAACTTCCAAAAAAGTGGGGGAGGGCAGGCTCTAACTAAACTTCACATCTCACAGAAACAGTACACCAAATACCTGTTCATTCACAAGCAGTTTAGTCCAGTGACAGATTCTGGAATGTTTTCCTGAGGTCATGGTTTCTGGGTAGGTATTCAGGCACTAAACACACCATTGGCCAAGTCCCTCCCTCCTGCTCTCTCCCTCTGAAAAATGCAAGTAGCACCTAGAGGCTAGCCCTCTCTAGAAGATGCTCCCTCAGGCTGCACATTCCACTCTGTCATCGCTGGCCTGGAGGTTTCGGTCCCACTGAGGACTCCTTCCCTTCCCACAGAGAGTGACCTATTCCTGGAGGATGGAGCGAGAGCTGCTGCCTGCATTCCCCAAATGCTGCTATTCTAGGCTTTCCCAGTAGAAACCACCCAGCTTTCTCTGTCTCCTCGTAGAAAAGCCTGGGATAATCCAGGTGTCCAGCAGCTTACCCTGAATTGGGATAAGAAATGAATTCTCCACCAATTTGTCAGTCCTCTCCCAAGTGACCTCAAATTGCCTGGTATGTGTCAGATATATCTATCCCTGCCATACTGATTCAAGCTGTAAAAAGTGTACCAGAAACACCTACCATTACTCCTTCTTTCATGTTCATTTTGCCAGGGCTCCTTCTGTTGAAGAGATGGGAAATGCAGGAAATTCATAAAATTAGGACAAGGTTGAAAATCTCGACTTGACACAGAGAAGATTGGACACCTAATACCCCGTCATTGGAAAGGTCATTGGCAGGAGACAGGAAGAGAACCAACTCCTTCCTTCCAGAGGGGAGGGTCCACCTAGACACACTAGCAAAAACACAGCACAACATATGCACAAGGGCATTTTATTCGTTGCAACATTACTTGGAATAACTAAAGAAGAAATAACCCTAATGTCCACCAGTAGGTAGTGGCTGAAAAACTCTGGTACATCCAGATGGTGGAGTAGGATGCAGAGAACAAACCCTATACCCTTATGTGGAGTTATCTTCAGGAGATAGTGTTAAATGGAAGCAGCAAAGTGAAGAAGGTTATTTTAGTATGCTATCACTTTTGTAATACAGGGGAGATTTTTTCTTCAAATGTAACAGTGGAAGGATTCATCAAAAAACTAATTAAAATGGCAGTCAGTGGGGGAAGGAGGGAGGAACAGGAAACCAGGATGCAATCCAGACTCCTCTGAGTGTCCTGTATTTATAGTTTTTACTTTGGACCTTCATAAATGCTTTACACAATTAAAATACAAAATTAACACAAAGTCTTTAGTACCCTCGTGTTTTCTGCATTCTTCCCACCATGCCCCCTGCCCTTAGCCTTGCAACAGAAAGTCCCAAAGGGGACATGGTCAAGGTGGTCTGGGGAGGGGCTGACCCTGTCACTGGCTACATGGCTGGCAGCACCATGGACCCTTTATGAGGTGCCTGCCAAGTCACCCAAGTCACTGGGGGCGTCACCCATGCTGGATCTTCACAGGCCTCTGGCTGCAGGAGGGTGACCTGTCTTCAAGCCAAACCAAAGCTACAGTACCCTCACCCCCCGAGCAGCACAATACCAGAATTCTCCAGCTCTGAGGGAACAAAGGCAAAGGAAGTTGTTTCACTTTCCAAAAGACTTCCTGCCTTTCTTTTCACAAGCCACGTTTCCCTTCCTTCAGAATCTAGAATCCTGCTCCAGTTTTGTCCAGTTGGTTTTGAAAGCAGTCATGTCAATCCTCTGGGATTAAGGGTATAAAAGATGCAGCATTTCCAGGCTGCAGGTTTCTGTGATTTTTCTCCTCCCTTGAGCTGATGAAATCAGTAGAAACAGGGAATAGGAATAAGCTTTAAGGCTTATCTGCCTCTCTTTCCCTGAGAATGTTGTGTCCTCTGTTGACACCCCCAAGTCTTTGTATCAGAGAGGAACAAATGAATGAATGAATGACCCACAGCCTGACCCTCAGTCTTTAGACTGTTTTCAGAGGAAAATCCCATGTGTCTCCCAAAGATCATGACCACATTATAACGGACAGACTTCAAATTCTCCCTTTGTCTCCCCTTCATCCCACCCTTCCCTAGTGGGACACCACAGGGAACTCAATTCTTGTCCTCTGGAGCAAACCAGCTACATAATTTGTGGGGCTCAGTACAAGATAAAAATGTGGAGCCCTTGTTTATACATTATTAAGAATCAAAAGGGTGACAGCAGAGCATTAAATGCAGCACAGGGCCCTGTGCAACTGCACAGGGTGTATGTCCATGAATCTGGTCCTGATGGCATCCTACACATGAGAGTAGAAGAATCAAAGATTCAAAGCAGTGTACTGGAGTCAGCTCAGATTAACTAATGAGAGTCGATTGTTAAATTTTCAGGAATTTTGCAATCTGGCTGTCATGTTGGTAGCTTGAAATCAGCCACAGTGAGAGTGTTTACACCACAGAAATCAGCAAACACTACAAATCAGGGCTTCTTTCCACTTCCCTTTCTTTGTTTCTTTCTTTTCCTTTCTTTTTTTTTCCTAGGAGGTGGGGATGGAGCCCATTGTTAAACATTTACCAGCATACCACTGAACCTACCTGTGAGGTTCCATGGACTTGCATATTGCCTAAAAGGGAAAGCAGCTTTTCCTCTTCTTGATGCAATGCCTCAGTTTCCTTCTCTACAGGAGGTGTCACTACCTGGGAGACTGGAAATAAAATCACAGGTATGAAGACAAAGATCACCTTCTGAGTAGTAGCAATCCAAGATAACCAATCATCAAAAAGTAGTCATTAAAAGAAATTATTTTAAGGGGACCTACAGATTTTTAATGGCATTTGTTTTTGGAGGACCACATATATACCCAGAAAAAAAAACGTGTAGTTATAAATTATTTTTATTGTTATTGTATTTTATTTTATTTGTTATTAGTTTTATGTTTTTGTTATTTTATACTTGTATTTTTATTAGTTCCTTAAAATTGCTGTAACCAAAACCAAACCCATTGCTGCTGTGTTGATTCCAACTCATAGTGACCCTATAGGACAGAGTAGAACTGTCCCACAGGGTTTCCAAGGAGCTGCTGGTGTATTTGAACTGCCGACATTTTGGTTAGCAGCCTGAGTTCTTAACCACTGCGCCACCAGGACTAAAATTACTGTACACTTTGGTAAATATGGCGCCCTGGTGGTGCAGTGGTTAAGAACTATGGCGAGCTACAGCTGCTAACCAAAAGGTCAGCAGTTGGAATCCACCTGCTGCTCCTTGGAAACCCTATGGGGCAGTTCTACTCTGTCCTATAGGGTCACTATGAGTCAGAATCAACTTGGCGGCAACAGGTTTGGCTTTTTGGTTTATTAAATATTACGTACTTACTAGCTATTTCAAAACTTATGGTACTTAATGTGTCGGATAATTGCCAAGTAGAGATTCCAAAACCATTAACTCAAGAAATAAAGTCAGAACTCAGACTATAATAGCAAAAAAAAAAGGAAAAAGAGAAAGAAAACAGAACATTCGAAAGTGGTTATTATAAATATGTTATATCCATAGAATAGATTTCTATGAAACCATTCAAAAGAAAGAGTTCCATCAGTGTTATATACATGAAAAAATGACATATGTATTTTCCCATCATATACATGGGGAAAAAGCAAGTTATAGAATATGATTAGGGTTATCTTAGTAAACACACACACACACACACACACACACACACCCCCACACACCACCTGTCTGTCAGTTTGTCATCCTGTGGTGGCTTTCATGTTGCTGTGATGCTGGAAGCTACGCCACTGGTGTTTCAAATACCAGCAAGATCACCCATGGTGGACAGGTTTCAACAAAGCTTCTAGACTAAGACAGATTAGGAAGAAGGACCTGGCGATCTACTTTTTAAAAAATTGGCCAGGGAAAACCTTATGAATAGCATCGGAATATTGTCTGATATAGTGCCAGAAGATAAGCCCCTCAGGTTAGAAGGCTCTCAAAATATGACCACAGTCTTCAGTATGGATTACACCTCAACATAAAGAAAACAAAAATCGTCACAACTGGACCAACAAGAAGCATTGCGATAAATGGAGAAAATATTGAAGTTGTCAAGGATTTCATTTTACTTGGATCCACAATGTCTACGGAAGCAGCAGTCTAGAAATCAAACAGCATAATTGCATTGGGCAAATCTGCCGCAAAAGACTTCTTTAAAGTGTTAAAAAGATAAGATGTCACTTTGAGGACTAAGGTGTGCCTGACCCAAGCCAAGGTATTTTCAATTGCCTCCTATGCATGCAAAAGCTGGACAATGAGTAAAGAAGACTGAAGAATTAATGTCTTTGAATTATGGTGTTGGTGAAGAATATTGAATATATCATGGACTGCCAGAAGAATGAACAAATCTGTCTTTTCAAGAAGTACAGCCAGAATGCTCCTTAGAAGCCAGAATGGCAAGACTTCGTCTTATGTACTATGGACATGTTATCAGGAGGGACCAGTCCCTGGAGAAGGACATTATGCTTGTTAAAGTAGAGAGTGAGCGAAAAAGAAGAAGACCGTCAACAAGATAGATTGACGCAGTGGCTACAACAATGGGCTCAAACATAGCAATGATTGTGAGGATGACACAGGACCTGGCAGTGTTTTGTTCTGTTGTCCATAGGGTTACTATGAGTCAAAACCAACTCGACAGCACCTAACAACATATACACACACACAATTGTCTCCTCGTAGGAGATTATCCTCCATTGTGGGTCTGGCCAATTCAGTGCTGTCCCCTTAATCCTGATTGGTCTGAAAGCAGGAAGGTGTGCAGAATACATGGTGACAGAAGCTTAGTCAGCTAAGACTGAAGAAGAAGCCAAGAAGTTTGGGACTGTAAACATCATCCACCCCAAGCTTGGGAGCCATACGAAAATTCCAGATCCAAGCATCTGGAACCTCAACCCAGAGGCCTCTTGTGTGTATCACTGCATGAATGAGATTGTGCATGAAGTAGAGTTCAATTTTATAATAATAATAAATAAATAACCTGTTGCCATCAAGCCAATTCCAACTTATAGTGACCCTATAGGCCAGAGTAGAATTGGCCCATTGGGTTTCCAAGGAGCAGCTGGTGGATTTGAACTGCCAACCAAAAGGTTGGCAGCCTGAGTTTTTAACCACTTCACCACCAGGGCTCCATGCATGGAGTGGAGTTCGATTTTATACCCAGTGTCAAAGGAGCAGTGTTGGTTTGTGACGTGTCTTCAAACTTCTTATCCAAGCCAGAGGATGTTTCCATATTTGGTGTGATTTTTGCTGGTACTCCAAAGAACTTTGACTCTGCTGGGGTCATGGTGGTGATCGTTCGTGATGACCTGCTGGAGTTTGCTCTCTGGGAATGCCCCTCTGTCCTGGAATACAAAGTGCAAGCCGGAAACAACTCCTTGTACAACACACTGCCATGCTTCAGCGTCTATGTCATGGGCCTGGTCCTGGAGTGGATTAAGAATAATGGCTTTGCTACAGTCAGGGAGCAACTTAGCTCCATCAAATCTCAAATGATTTATAATATCATTGATAACTCTCAAGGAATCTATGTATGTCCAGTGAAGCCTCAGAATAGAAGCAAGATGAATATTCCATTCCACACTGGCAATGCCAAAGGAAACGATGCTCTAGAAAAAAGATTGCTCAATAAAGCTCTTGAACGCAGCATGATGTCCTTGAAAGGGCACAGGTCCATGGCACAGATCGTGCCTTTCTATATAATACTGTCACCATTGAAGATGCTCAGAAGCTGGAAGCCTTCATGAACAATTTTTTGGAGATGTGTCAGCTCTGAACACATCCTGACCAACGTATACTTTGTCATTGAACAATGTACAAAACTCAAAATGACAAGGCAATAGATACCAAAAAAAAATTAACAAACAGTATTTTTCCCGAATAAACATGCTTAATATAGATTCTTCCTTTTTCAAAGAACAACAGCAAAACATCAAGAGCTCTGCAGAGCTGGTGGGACTTAATGGCCACTTTAACTCTGACTTGAACTGGAAGCATTTTTTTTTAAATCTTCCTGTTGCTTTTCTAACTAATTCAACCTTATTTTGTCTTTGCTGGTAATTTTCTAGCTAGATCTCAGTATTCAAACTTGCCTGTGGACTGAATTATGCAAATTGTAGTTAATTATTTCTGGAGACACACAAACTCACAATATGGAGAGTAGGTGGGACCCACTAGGTGCTGAGTCTAGATCTTTTCCAAAATGACAACAGCGGGATCTCCTGGGTTCAGCAGTCGCTAAGATTGACCATTTGGTGAGCATTTGGGACTTCTAGGCAAAGGGCAAACTGTAGGTCTTTCTTTATAACCTTACTCTCATAAAGAGATAAAAGCGGCATAAATATTTTATATAGAAAGGTCTGTTTTTAATACCATCTAGTTTGTATCTCAATGCATTTATATTTCTAGTAATGTGGTTTTTGGTGACAAATGCAGAGACTTTTAGAATTTGTTAGAATCCTTGACCTAGTGCATGACAGCATTATATTAGCAACAGCTGTGCCCCTTTTAGAAGCTACTTCAGAGAAAACGAGGTTTAGAAGTTCTGTGCATCACTCTTACGCTTTTTTCATTAGCTAGAAAAGAAGGTTGTTCAGTTGTTTTGTTGTTTGTTCTTTAATAATGCCTTCAAACTAAAAATCTCTGTTAAACTCCCTTATCCTTTGTTCACTTGACTGTTGTCTTTACTGTGTTTGACCAGAGTGATACTGTGAGTTCCAGAAGAATCTTTGCTTAGCAGTCTTTTCCCCTTTTGTTTATCCATTGTCTATATTTTATATTGAACATGTGAAGAACATTAAAGTACTAAAACATCAACCAAAAAAAAAAAGAAAAAAAGAATATCCTCCAAACAGTGGTTGCCTCTGGAAAATGGGTTAGTAATGTGGAAAGGAGAAGAGAAGAAAGGGAAAGACTTTAACCTTCTACATTCTGTATTGTTTTCATTATTTAAATTTTTATTGAATTTTATTATAATTCACATATATTATTTTTAAGAATAAATTTAAAATATAAAACAAATACCAAGTTTCAAGAAAATGCACAGCATTAGCCAGGTGTTCCTTAAATAGAGCTAGTGTGCTAATCAAATACAGTGTACTTGGAGTTTAACCTGTTGCCATTCCAACACATAGTGACCCTATAGGACAGAGTAGAACTGCCCCATAAGGCTTCCAAGGAGCGGCTGGTGGATTCGAACTGCCAACATTTTGGTTAGCAGCCGAGCTCTTAATCACTGTGCCACCAGGGCTTCACTTGGACTTTGGATGACACTAATCACAGAAATGTCTAAAATTTACATACCTACTATCTTTTCAGTCCTTTAGTCCTTCATTCTAAGAGGCAGAATTAGGCCCAAACCCTTAGAACTATAGAGAGTTAAAATATTAATAATGCAAAAAATAAAATAAATCAAAAAATATATTAACAATGATTAACACTCAACAAGAGATCACACAGCAGGTAGGTTGTAGAAATGAAAAATCAAAATTAAAATTCTTCTTCTGATATAAAACTCAGTCCTCAAGACTCACTGAGGCAAATGTAAACATATATTACACAGAAACTAGGGTGCCTTCTCCAGAGTTCAAATATCCAATAACATAGCCATCTGGTCTATGTCTATTTGTGTGGAATACTCCACTACAGGAAAACCACGGTGTGGTCTGAAAAAAACAATCTCAGTGTTCAGACTTCAAGTGAGGATTCCAAATATTCTTTCCACATCAACTTCCTGCTTTTTATTTCTCTGTTGATAACTTGATGGTAAGAAGGGCTGTTTTCATTCCTTACAATTTCTGCTTAAATTACACATTTATTCCCTGCTTTAGTTATTGTTTGATGTTTCATTAGTTTAACAACAGCATATTTTCTTCCTCAACTCATTTTGTGCTAACTGAATTCTTAGAGAGAAACTTCATTTTGACTAGTTTTGTTTTAACGAAATAAATGTGCTCGCTAAATTGACTCACTGAACTAAAATGCGGGTGTGGCATAAAAGCTCGTGAATGTATTCACGAGCTTTTATTTTTACCTCTTGTTTAACAGTTGGAGAAATGAACTTGGAAGAACATATTTAACATATTGTCATGTAGCCAGCCAACCAGGTTTGATTTCCGCCCTGTGCTACAACCTCTATGCAATATCACAGCAATACTTCCTTAACAAGATCGACTGGAGAAAGAGAAAATAAAGTTCTTCTCTGACAGTAATTTCTGAGAATATGAAAGCCCCCATGGCTTTCCTCTCCATCTAATATATTCATAATAGCAACACGTATTGAATGCTTCTTCTGTGTCAGACATGCATCTTACAGGAATTATCTCATTCAATCCTCACAAAAATCCATAAGGTAGATGCTATTATTATCCCCACTTTACAGATGGGGAAAGTGAGGCATAGAAAGGCTAAGAAAAGGGCCACTGATCAGTGGAACCCTGGCTATTTTACTCCAGAGACCCCACCTTAACCCCTCTATCCTGCGTCCTTCTTTTTTATGTTATTTCATTCAAAACAATTTTATATATTCTCTCTCCCATGTAAGAATTAGAAGAAGACATTTGTCTAAAACTATGTTGCTCCACTAGAATATAAGCTCCAAGAGTGCAACAGCTTTGTTCTGTACCCTGCTGTACCCCCAGCTCCTGAAACAGTGCCTGGCACTGTTTGCATTCAGTAAATATGTGTTGAATGAAACAATGAAGGACATTCCTGGCTTTCCCAAGAGAGCATTCTCAGAGTGATGAGTAAACATCATACACGGCCAACTGGCTTAAGAATTCCCAAGGCCTGATGCAAGCAAGTATAAGCTACTTACTTTTCTCTGTTTTATATTTCTCTATCTTTTTCAGAAGGTTAGGTGCAACAATTTTGCAGAGATCCTCCAGTGTCGTCAGATTATCCTCACCTATTAGATCTTGTTTCTCTAGATGTGCCAGGAAACTTAGAGAGGTCTGCAAGAGAATCAATGGAGTCACATTTACTTGCCTACTGGTCAGCCAGCATTCAATACATATTACTTGAATGGGCACTCTGTGCCAGGTTTTGCATTGATGAATAAGGTACGGCGTTTGCCCTCAAGGAGTTTAATAGCGTAGAGGAAAAGGCATTGCCAAATCTCTACACAGTCTATATTAATACCAGATACCAAGTATATAGCACTTGCTACACACCGGCACAGTATTGTTATGAATGTTAGTTGGAGACGAAAGTCACAGGGCTCTCATATTCGCAGGAAGCATAATTCTTCTGATTGGGCCCTCTTGGGATCTCTGTGCCTTAAAAATGGTGATAGGATTACCCCAGGGCCCAAAAATTCAGAGGCTAAACTGGCGACCTTGCTCAGAAGTCCCCACACGTTGAAAAGATTAGGTGCCACATTCACAAAGCACTTTCTGTTTTCAGAGTAGAGATTCTCCTTAAAGAGAGAAAACGTGAAGCATAGTTTCAACACTTGTTTGGAATTATATACTAGTAAGCAAGAGCTAGGGTCGAAAGTGGAAATCCATGGCTTCTCATACTTTTGTTCCCATGGTGAGTGCGGAGAGGATGTCACTACTCTGTTACTAAGGTGAGCTGGCTCACCTATATAAGAGACCAATTGGTGCTTATTTAGAATCTGTATCAGAGCCACATGAATGTGGTAAGCAAATTGGAGGCTGCTGGAAGTTCAAAACTCAAAGCCTTTTTCTCTTTCTCTCATTTTATTCATTCATTCATTCATTCAGTAGAGAATTCTTACCATGATACAAAATTCAAAAGATACAAGAAGGTATAAAATAAAGAATAAGTCTTTCTCTCTCATCTCTGACTCCCAGCTATCAGTTCCTCCCCCTGGAAGCCACTGCTGTTACCAGATACTTGGTATCCTTCCAGAAATATTCTCTAGCTATGTAACTGTGGGTGGATGTATGAGTGTTCAAACAAAACCCATTGCCGTTGAGTAGACTGTGACTCATAGCGACCCTATAGGACAGAGTAGAACTGCCTCATAGGGTTTCCAAAGCTGTAGTCTTTACAGAGCAGACTGCCACATTGCTCTCCCTTGGACTGGATGATGGGTTTGAACTGCCAGCCTTTTGGTTAGCAGCCGAGCGCTTTAACCACTGTACCACCAGGGCTCCTTCAAACAAGGCACCCAAAATGTCAACAACCAAAAGAAAGTCCAGAGTTATAAAGTCTTAACTGATTTCTGTCCTCATCTAACCAAAAGACAGAGTATAAGTTTTCAAGAAATTCCAGAGACAGGTGGGAGGACCAAGAAGGCAAAGAAGTGTGGGTGTCCCCACTTGTAGCCCAAGCATACCAATAGCCTGACAAGGGAACAAAGTAGGAGAGAGGAGGGGGTGAAGGAAGATTCATGCAGAGCTGATAAGCTGGGCAAAACGGTCAAAGGTAATCTCCTGAGCAAAGTTCTGCACAGGACTTTGAACCAGTTTCTCCCGGTTCAAACCCCTGCTAAGAATTTGCATTTCTAACAAGTTTCCCAGGCGATGCTAATGCTGTTGGTTAGGGACCGATTCTGAGAACCACTGGTAAGGCAGTGGTTCTCAAAATTTATTATACGTAAGAATCACTTGGGGAACTTGTTAAACTGTAGATTTTTTTTTATAGCATTTTGTCGTGCTTTAGGTGAACATTTACATAGAACATTAATTTCCCAATCAATGATTCTTACACAAATTGTTTCATGACCTTAGCTGTAATCCCTGCAATGTGTCAGCATTCTCCTCATTTATTCCCTGGGTTCCCTAAGTCCATTCACCTGCTTTCCCTGTCTCTTCCTGTCTTCTCATCTTTGTTGTTGGGCAGATGTTGCCCTTTTGGTCTCGTATAGTCAATTGTTCTAAGAAGCACATTCTTCATGGATGTTACTGTTTATTTTATAGCCCTGTCTGTTATTTGGCTGAAAGGTGGCCTCTGGAACTGTCTGTAGTTTCGAGTTAGAAGGTTGTCTTAGGGCAATAGTCTCAGGGGTTCCTACAGTCTCTTTCAGAGCGGTATGTCTGATCTTTTGTTTTTCTTTTTTAATTCAAACTTTGTTGTATGTTTTCTACCCATTCTACCCAAAAGCTTCTATTGTGATCCCAGTCAGAGTGGTCAGTAGTGGTGGCCGTGTACCATCTAGTTCTTCTGGTCTAAAATGTAGAATCTGATTCAGTATATTTGGGGTGGAAATGAAAATTCTCAGCAGGGGTTCAAACCAGAATGAACAGGTTGGAAGCCCTGGTTCTGCAGCAAGTTATGTGCAAGTGAGCTCTCTCTGAACTTCAAAACAGAAACTTCTGTCTTCTTCTTCTTCCTTTTTTTTGTTTTTAAGCTTTTTTGTTGTTGTTGTTATAAAAAAGAAGCTCTTGTCTTGATAGCAATCTACCAAAGGAAGAAAAAGGACTAAGATATGATTCCTGAAGCAATGATGGGAATTCGTTATACTTAGTAAAAATTTTGTTAGATTTTTAGTAAATGACACCTTTCGTACACACACACACACACACACACACACACGCACACACATACACACTTTACATTGCTCTAGTTTAAGAACACCCACCCTGCAAATATTAGCAGGAAGTGTCTGAAAGCTTTTTTTGTTTTGCTTCTTTGCTAAAAAGCTAGCGGATTTGGGTGTGGTTTTCTTTGCACTTAAGATATTATGTTGATTACTGCGCCAAGAACACGTTTCCTGATAGTTCTTTGAGTCTCTCAAACTTATAGCAGCTATCCTTGCTATAAGTTTGTATGTGAGCTGTCATAAAGAGAAAGCCCAGAGTACCTTACAAAGGTCATTTTTGTCCCCCTGGAGAGACCATATGAATTTAGGACCCTTCCTTTTTTGGCTGAGGGGTGTTCAGGCCCTCCTCCAACAGCTGGTACATAATTTATTTCTGTTATAAAATCTCTCATGATTGCAATTGCAGTTTCAGATAATGCAACCTCATTAAGCCTGGTGTGGAAACTCATCTGGATTGCTTTGAGACTGTGCTATACACAACGCAGAAGGCTGGCCTGGTCACAAAGTCCAGTAGAAATCAGCCTGGATTATTATCTCAGCTACACTCCTGATGTGAAGAGTTAGATCTCCTGTGGAGTAAATCTGAGATCACTTGGAATCCAAAAAGGAAGGGCAGTTTTCCTGAAAGGAAGGGCAGTTTTCCTGAAAGGAAGTGCAGTTTTCCTGAATGTGACCAGGTAATACCACAGACCTATACCACAGCTAAACACAGTGGCTTCTCCTTTTACTATTGTACCAAGTGAGGAGAACATATAAAATTATTTGGGTATTTGAGAGTGCCCATTTAAAAACTAATTTAGCTGGTGGAGAAATGTTCGGCATGCTGTCATTGTTGTTAGTTTCTGTCAAGTTGATTCCAACTCATGTGACCCTATGTTACTGACCATAAAAAACGTTCCATTAAAAAATGGGCAAAGGAAATGAACAGACACTTCACCAAAGAAGACATTCAAATGGCCAGCAGACACATGAGGAAATG